AATGTGGTAATTGAATGAAGTACATAATTCCAATCAAAAGTCGTCCCCATGTGGAATGCAATTTTTTTTTATAAAGCCCCCCCCCCCCCCCCCCCCGGGCTTTTGCCGGGGGTCATGAATATAGTCAGAGCATAGATATGGCCTAACGGCTGAAAGGGGTTTCTGGGACCTCTCCATGGATGATCCTCATCCGCATGGTGGCACTTTGTGTCACCGGGTGTTTATCACTTGTGTGATGTCCTGGCGGGGTACAGCTACCTACCTACCTACTTACCATTATTGTAAGTGTTGTCCCCCCTTTTTTTAATAGTTATTTTGAAGCCGCGCCCTGGCTTTTGCCGGGGACCCTAAATATAGCCAGGCCTTAAATATAACCTAAGGCTGAACGGGGTTTCCGGGACCTCTCCACGGGTGATCCTCAGCCGCATGGTTGCACTTTGTGTCACCGGGTGTTTATCGCTCTGGGTGATGTCCAAGTGAGGTTAAATTTACTTACTTACTTGCATGCTACAGTCGAGTCTGGATAAGTAGAAGCCGCAAGGACCTAAGAAAATGCTTCCACTTATCAGGATTTCTACTTATCCAGACAGTACACTCAATAGAGAAAGCTGCAGGGACTAAGCTGGTCATGTCGACTTTACCGAAATTTGACTTATCCGAGTTCGACATAAGTGGACTCGACTGTAGTAGTTTTCACTGTCCCTATATGGCACACATTTTCGTAATTATGAAGCCCCACCCTGGCTGTTGCCGGGGCCCTATTATAAACCTTATGGATAAACTGGGTTTCTGGGACCTCTCCACGGGGGATCCTCATCCGAAATGTGGCACTTTGTGTCACTGGGTGTTTAGTTTTAAAGCCCTATCACGGCTGTAGTTAAGGGCACTAAATAACCTAAAGGGGTTTCTGGGACTTGTGCCCAGGTGATCCTTATCCAAATGGTTTGACTTGTATTACCGGGTGTTAGTTGAAGAACAATTTTTACATCTGACGGAAAACTGGACAGAGAAATTAGCTCCAGATGTGCCAAAGCTAATCAAGTAATGGGTCAACTATTTCCCCTGTTGACACACAAGCAGATACCCCGGAGTACTAAAGTGAATCTTATCAGAACTATTTTTTGGCCAACACTATGCTATCAGTGCCAAACGTGGACACATAAATCCTCCAATGAACGTAAAATTGTGACAACAGAGATGAAATGCCTTAGAAGAGCTGCAGGAGTTTCAAGGAAAGACAGAATACGAAATCATGAAATCAGACGAATGCTAGGAATAAAGCCAGTCTTACAGGTCATCAAAGAACAACAAATGAAGAGGTTTGGACACCTAACAAGAATACCCTGGTATTTTCTGCCACAGCGAGCCACACTAAAACGTTACTACGGGTATAGAGCGAGTGGAAGACCTCGGAAAATATGAAATGATGGCATTAAGAACAGCCTTTCAGAAATGAACATTAGTCTTAATAGTACTCTTGACAGAGCCCATCAACGAACATTACATCTCCCCCCGACACTTCGATGCGGTACAAGGTGGAAGAGAAGAAGAAGAAGAAGAAGTTGAAGAATGTGGGGTTGAAAGTTACTCATTACTTACCATGACTTCCTAAAAAATATGGCTGTTACTGTGACTTCCTAGTAATATAGATCTCACTGTGACTCTATAAAAAATTTGCATTTACCGTGACTCCATAAAAATATGGCATTTACCGTGACTCCATAAAAATATAGCTGTTACTGCGACCATAGAAATAAGACATTTGCTGTGACTTCCTAGAAATATGGCTTTTATTTTGACTTCCTAAAAATATGGATTTTACTGGACTTCTTAGTGGTACAGACCATGACTTACTATAAATATTGGCTTTGTCTGTGTGACCCCCTCTCCTCTAGGAATACAGCATTTTCTGTGACTTCCTTGAAATACCGGCTTTTGCTGTTACTATCTAGAAAAAAAAATCATTTACTAAGTTTTGAAAATATTTGCATTTACTGTAACCTTGAAATATATAAAATGTATTATTTTCTCCATGTTATAGCAATTTAAAATTAAAGCACATGTAACGGCTATACCAGAAAATACCCAGTCCTGTGTGTGTAAGGATCGCCTGGTTATCATCATCATCATCAGAAAATCTTTCTCATCACAGCATGGCTGAAAGTTTCTCTGTCTGTAGTCAAAGATTGCAAGGTCCCCTCAATGTGCCTGTCAGACAGGACCACAAACACATGAGCACATTCTGCCTACTCTGCTTACAACCTGGCCTCAAGAGCAAAGTGTGCAGAGCAAGCTATGGGGCACCATGAAGGACCTGCTACTGACATGCAAGTTCATAGAGGCGACCCACCTGATGGTCTGATCTCAGCATACGAAACCGAATGCAAATAAGAAGAAAGTCAATTCTCCAGCCCTGTATTATTTCATCACCAGTGCATCTTCAGTGTCCTGTATCTACTTTTAAAGAGTTCTGCCTCTGCTTCATTTTACAGAAACTGTGTCCTCCATCACTCTAACATGACCACAATGCCTTAGCTGTTAAAGGATCACCTACTTCTTCTTGACGTCCTCTTTTACCCCTTAGGGTGTCCAGGGAGGTATAAGGTCCTGCTTCGGATGTTGAGGGAGATATAAGGTCCTGCTTCAGGTGTCCAGGGAGATATAAGGTCCTGCTTCGGGTGTCGAGGGAGATATAAGGTCCTGCTTCAGGTGTCCAGGGAGATATAAGGTCCTGCTTCAGGTGTCAAGGGAGATATAAGGTCCTGCTTCAGGTGTCCAGGGAGATATAAGGTCCTGCTTCAGGTGTCGAGGGAGATATAAGGTCCTGCTTCAGGTGTCCAGTGAGATATAAGGTTCTGCTTCGGGTGTCGAGGGAGATATAAGGTCCTGCTTCGGGTGTCAAGGGAGATATAAGGTCCTGCTTCAGGTGTCCAGGGAGATATAAGGTCCTGCTTCAGGTGTCGAGGGAGATATAAGGTCCTGCTTCAGGTGTCCAGGGAGATATAAGGTCCTGCTTCAGGTGTCGAGGGAGATATAAGGTCCTGCTTCGGGTGTCGAGGGAAATATAAGGTCCTGCTTCGGGTGTCGAGGGAGATATAAGGTCGTGCTTCGGGTGTCGAAGGAGATATAAGGTCGTGCTTCGGGTGTCGAGGGAGATATAAGGTCCTGCTTCAGGTGTCGAGGGAGATATAAGGTCGTGCTTCGGGTATCGAGGGAGATATAAGGTCCTGCTTCGGGTGTCGAGGGAGATATAAGGTCGTGCTTCGGGTGTCGAGGGAGATATAAGGTCCTGCTTCGGGTGTCGATGGAGATATAAGGTCGTGCTTCGGGTGTCGAGGGAGATATAAGGTCGTGCTTCAGGTGTTGAGGGAGATATAAGGTCCTGCTTCAGGTGTCGAGGGAGATATGAGGTCCTGCTTCGGGTGTCGAGGGAGATATAAGGTCCTGCTTCAGGTGTCGAGGGAGATATAAGGTCGTGCTTGGTGCTTTTCTGGCTGCTTCGACCAAAGACACATGGTGGTACTGTAGAGTTTCTCTGATGTTATCCTTCCATATTGTTCTTAGTCTACCTCTTGCTTTACGTCCCTCTTCTCTTCTTGTATATGCATTGAATGGTATAGCATCAGATCGCCTGCAAAGCGTTTACATTTTTTAAAATAAATTTTTCAAGGCAGCTCTTGGACAGGTTAGAAATGTAAGGTAGTGAGAAGCTGAGCTGGTAACCTCATCTTATGGTGCCATGGTCTTTGAGTATTTAACATCCAGTTACTATATCTATGATATTTTATGTCTGAATCTGTTCAGGACCACAAAAGGTCACTTTTTTAAAGGACCAGATTCTGACATACTTGATTTGACTTGACTTGCTTTGCGAAAGAAAATACTATACAAATTGTCAAGCTCAACCAGCATCCCCCAAAAGGGAGAAGCTTTAGGTTATAATTGTGACAAGGTTTATGTGTGCCATATAAAATGGCGTAGCATTGCTCGCCACCTGGAAAGGAGTCTTACAGTGTTGATGCGATCAAGTGAGACAGACTTCAATACTGTGCTGATACTGCCATACAAAGACGTCTACCCGCCGGCCAATTTGCGACCTGGTATCCGATGTCAAATTACGGCCAGGTTCCAGCTGAATTCTGGTGCCCAACTGTGGTCAAACACACTTAGAACAGGATCTCCAAATAAACTAGCTGTCTGCATTCTTTCATACCCTAAATCAATTACATGTCTCAGGGTGGTCTCAATGCTTTGATTTTTAACTGCATTCATCTTTTCCCATCGAAATCTGTGGGTATGGGCTAGTTTAAATTTATGATTATTTTTGTGTAGCATCTTGCAGGTTCAAAGTTAGGAATATTTGTGTATCTCTTACATACAAACTTAAAAAAATATTGAAAAAAAAAGCTCACACACATACGCACAAAGAGAGTTACTTCCCTTGCCATTCATCCCTGGTTGTGTCGTATGGCCTGTCCTATGTTGCAGGGGTGTCACGCTTAGTGGGCGTCCAGCAACACACACAATTTTACGTGGTGTTGTCACCGGCCGGCGATATCGTGTGCTCTATATTCCACGATGTGAGCACTTTTAACGGTCCCAAAACATGTAGTACTGGCCCTCACACCCTCCCCCCCCCCCGCCTTAGCCTATGTCCCACAAGAGAGTGCAGCCTGTGGCCCATGACTGCATGCAGTCTATGACAACAACTCGTAAAATACCTTATGTTGCTGGACACTACCTAAGCGTGACACCCCTGCAGCATAGGACAGGCCCTGTGACATGACCAGGGATGGATTGCAAGGAAAGTCACTCTCTTTGTTGGCCCGACTTAGTGAGTTGTTCCAACAAAAGAAGTCATTGGTTATAGACATGTAATGACGGAAGCATCAACTCTGCTGAGTCCTCTTTTACTTTCACTTTCTTTGTTATGTCTTATTTCATGTCTAATATTTACTTTCATATCTTATGTTATCCCCCCGCCCCCTTCCATCCACCAGATTTGCCACAGACAGCAGAATCCACACATGAATCTACCAGCTCTGGCGTGGCATCAGACGTCACCTCCTTGTACCCATCCACACACCTCATGACCACATTCAAAGGAGGAGATTCTGCAGGTTCCGCAGGCTCTGCAAAGTCACTGGAGTCTCATGATTCAGGCAATAAAAGTGTGTCTGCGTCTGGCTCTCCTAGACCTGCGCAGCCATTTCAGAAACCATTTACCAGAAGCACTAGGCCTCACCCTGCAGTGCCTCTTCCGTTAATTCCAAAAGAACCATCTTCATATCATGAGAAAAACTCTCATTGCCAAGCCAACCAATCCCCCTGCAATGGCTATCAAATGGTGAATTCCTGCTACTCCTCACAGTTGATGCTGCCAAAGGAGATGAAATATTCAAGAGAATGTCAGCCTACATATCCAGATGAAAACTGTATTCTGTGTAATAATAATAGTAACAACAAATCATATCAGCAGCAAAGAAATGTAAGTACTTCGCTGTGCTGTTACGACTGTCGAACCACACACCCTGCTTTCTGCAGTGAGTCTGACCGCTGTTGTGTACAAGATATGAGTGAGCCTTTGGGAAATAATAGACACAGTGAGTCACATTTTAAAGATAATGGCATTGTCAAAGACAGACTGCGTACTGTTTCTTCACCTGTTCTTACAGCACTACCTCATGGACACTGCTGCGGTCAACAAAATCATCATAATAACAATTATCAGCCAATGGCAGATTCAGCAGTTCACAGCCCGAAAATCTGGCACAAAGAACAACAGCAACACTCACAAAACAGCAGACACTCCCCAATAGTAAAAGAAACTAACTCAAGTACACCTGATATGTACAGCCACCAAAACCATCGCATCTCCCCATCTTCACAAACAAAATTTAACGAGTTCTCATCTCCAAACCTGCAAACGTTTAAAACCAATGGTGTGAACAAACCATCTTGTTCACCATGTAGCCATCACCCAAACAGACTTTCCCATCTATCGTCTAAATATAAAAGCAGTGAACAAAAGACAGATAACTCTAATCTGCACTCCCAGACGCTCAGGGGAACTCATTTACTGCTGACACAAGCTCAGGTCCACACGCCACAGCCAGAAACCGGAGGCTGGATCGAATCCAAAGCTAGACATTCACGTCCCCAGCCAGAAGTCCGCATGAAGAACTTTTCAGACAAGGCCCAGTTTGCAAGAGATCAGGATTCTACACTGTATCTGGTCACAGGGATCAACCATCTATCCATAAATCAGGTAACTGCTTTGAAATCATTGTTTCATTTTCATGATCGTCTTGTACCATTATGTGTCACATATGGCTTGCAGCCCATTCCTTCATTCCGTTCTATCTTGTGTAATCAGTTCAGTATTATGGATGGCGTCAAGTCCAGCAGCTTTGGCCTCTCTCATCAGAGTTCATCTAAGGATTTCTTTTGGGCATCCTCGCCTCCTATTGTAATGCCTGTTTTGAAGTTCTCTGCTGGTTTCTCCTCAGCATGTGTCCAATCTAGCGCCATCTTTTCTGTCTGATAACTGTTGATACTAGTGGTTGGCATGACTTCCAGAACGGACTATAGTGGCGGTATTTAGTAATGTCAATTATGTGAATGACAAAAAGTCTTGGCTCTTTTACGCTGTTCCAAGACACATCCTATCTGTTTTACTGTCAAAACAGCTGAAGAGGCTATCTATTTAAATTCTGTCATATCGTTGGTACAGAAAGTCTCTTATTAAAAAAATACATGTCATGAGTGACTGCTGCTTGTTAAAGTTTCCAAACAGGACATCCTTCCACTCAAGCCACCCTTCCACTCAGGCCACCCTTCCACTCAGGCCACCCTTCCACTCAGGCCATCTTTCCACTCAGGCCACCCTTCCACTCAGGACACCCTTCCACTAAGGCCACCCTTCCACTCAGGCCACCCTTCCACTTAGGCCACCCTTCCACTCAGGCCACCCTTCCACTTAAGCCACCCTTCCACTTAGGCCACCCTTCCACTTAGGCCACCCTTCCACTTAGGCCACCCTTCCACTCATTCCACCCTTCCAAGCAGCCACCCTTCCACTCAGGCCACCCTTCCACTCAGGCCACCCTTCCACTCAGGCCACCCTTCCACTTAGGCCACCCTTCCACTCAGGCCACCCTTCCACATCTGTAATGAGAAGGATAACTGTGATTGGTTATACCATATTTTTTAATAAATAAAAAAAAAAGCAATCATTGCAATTTTCACCTGCTAAACTAAATTGTGAAAAGTACGAAAGTACTCTCTCTCTCTCTTTTTCTCTGTCTTTTTTCATTGAAGCTTCCTAGCTGCACCTGAGGTTGCTACCACACCCCCTGGAGTGTCCCGGTGCCCCCAAATTTGATCAAAGCCGCTATCGCTCCCCCCTCCTCTGGACAATCCCACCGGGTGGGGGGGGGGGGGGGGGGAGAAGAAAACGCCCACTTTGGAAAACACTGTTCTAGAGAAAGTGTTCAGTCACTTTTTTGATTATGATTTTATTATGATTGTTATCAAGAAAGTTTTGTCATGACTGTAAACAACAGCTTTCATGCTGTCACTGTTTTTGAGATGAACAGTAATGAAACTTAAATGTCTCTTATACAGTCCAATGATCAACACCTGTTGCCCCAGTCTGCACCGTTTGAGTTCCTTCCTAATGACGTGCTTCTGAAAATCTTCTCCCACCTGCCCACAGACCAGTTGTGCAGGTGTTCTCAGGTAAGAATTTAGATCTGCTATGATGTTTTATGGAGAGAGAGGCAGAATAAGACAGCACAAGAAGATTCTTGTTAGCCTTTTGTCATGGCATGGAGGGGTGTCAACACACAAACTACAGTTGCAAATCGCAGATTGTGGACGAGTCATGATCACCCACGCCAGTCTGCAAAGCATTTGATGAAGATGATGATGTGTTAATTCAAGAGCAGCTTATGTGCTGTCCTAGCTCTATCTAATCTAGAAAGGTTTCCAGGAAAAGGGTTAGCAGTGTCGATGCACAAACAGATCACAGCAGTCTGGAGGGTCTGGAGAGTCTAGAGAGTTTGGAGAGTCTGTAGGGTCTGAAGAGTCTATAGGGTCTGAGGAGTCTGGAGGGTCTGAAGAGTCTGGAGGGTCTGAAGAGTCTGGAGGGTCTGAAGAGTCTGGAGGGTCTGAGGGGTCTGAAGAGTCTGGAGGGTCTGAAGAGTCTATAGGGTCTGAATATTCTGGAGGGTTTGGAGAGTCTAGAGAGTTTGGAGAGTCTGGAGGGTCTGAAGTCTGTAGGGTCTGAAGTCTGGAGGGTCTAAAGTCTGGAGGGTCTGAAGTCTGGAGGGTCTGAAGAGCCTAGAGGGTCTGGAGTGTCTGGAGGGTCTGGAGAGTCTCAAGAGTCTGGAGGGTCTGAAGAGTCTGGAGGGTCTGAAAAGTCTGGAGAGTCTGGAGGGTCTGAAGGGTGTGGAGTGTCTGGAGAGTCTGGAGAGTCTGGAGGGTCTGAAGAGTCTGGAGGGTCTGAAGAGTCTGGAGAGTCTGAAGGGTCTGGAGAGTGTGGAGAGTCTGGAGGGTGTGGAGAGTCTGGAGGGTGTGGAGAGTCTGGAGGGTCTGAAGAGTCTGGAGGGTCTGGAGAGTCTGGAGGGTCTGGAGAGTCTGGAGGGTCTGGAGGGTGTGGAGAGTCTGGAGAGTCTGGAGGGTGTGGAGAGTCTGGAGGGTGTGGAGAGTCTGGAGAGTCTGGAGAGTCTGGAGGGTGTGGAGAGTCTGGAGGGTGTGGAGAGTCTGGAGGGTGTGGAGAGTCTGGAGGGTCTGGAGAGTCTGGAGGGTCTGGAGAGTCTGGAGGGTGTGGAGGGTGTGGAGAATCTGGAGGGTGTGGAGAGTCTGGAGGGTCTGGAGAGTCTGGAGGGTCTGGAAAGTCTGGAGGGTGTGGAGAGTCTGGAGGGTGTGGAGAGTCTGGAGGGTGTGGAGAGTCTGGAGGGTGTGGAGAGTCTGGAGGGTGTGGAGAGTCTGGAGGGTGTGGAGGGTCTGGAGGGTGTGGAGAGTCTGGAGAGTCTGGAGGGTGTGGAGAGTCTGGAGGGTGTGGAGAGTCTGGAGGGTGTGGAGAGTCTGGAGGGTGTGGAGAGTCTGGAGGGTGTGGAGAGTCTGGAGGGTGTGGAGAGTCTGGAGGGTCTGGAGAGTCTGGAGGGTCTGGAGGGTGTGGAGGGTCTGGAGAGTCTGGAGGGTGTGGAGAGTCTGGAGGGTCTGGAGGGTGTGGAGGGTCTGGAGGGTCTGGAGGGTGTGGAGAGTCTGGAGGGTGTGGAGGGTCTGGAGAGTCTGGAGGGTGTGGAGAGTCTGGAGGGTGTGGAGAGTCTGGAGGGTCTGGAGGGTCTGGAGAGTCTGGAGGGTCTGGAGGGTGTGGAGAGTCTGGAGGGTGTGGAGAGTCTGGAGAGTCTGGAGAGTCTGGAGGGTCTGGAGAGTCTGGAGGGTCTGGAGAGTCTGGAGAGTCTGGAGAGTCTGGAGGGTGTGGAGAGTCTGGAGTGTGTGGAGAGTCTGGAGTGTGTGGAGAGTCTGGAGAGTCTGGAGGGTCTGGAGAGTCTGGAGGGTGTGGAGAGTCTGGAGGGTGTGGAGGGTGTGGAGGGTGTGGAGAGTCTGGAGGGTGTGGAATGTCTGGAGGGTGTGGAGAGTCTGGAGGGTCTGGAGGGTCTGGAGAGTCTGGAGGGTGTGGAGGGTCTGGAGGGTGTGGAGAGTCTGGAGGGTGTGGAGAGTCTGGAGGGTCTGGAGAGTCTGGAGGGTCTGGAGGGTGTGGAGGGTCTGGAGGGTGTGGAGAGTCTGGAGAGTCTGGAGGGTGTGGAGAGTCTGGAGGGTGTGGAGAGTCTGGAGGGTCTGGAGGGTGTGGAGAGTCTGGAGGGTCTGGAGGGTGTGGAGAGTCTGGAGGGTCTGGATAGTATTAAGAGTCTGAAGGGTCTGGAGAGTCTGGAGGGTCTGAAGAGTCTGGAGGGTCTGGAGAGTCTGAAGGGTCTGGAGAGTCTGAAGAGTCTAGAGGGTCTGAAGGGTCTGATGAGTCTGGAGGGTCTGGAGGATCTGGAGGGTCTGAAGAGTCTGGAGGGTTTGGAGGATCTGAAGTCTGGAGGGTCTGGAGAGAATATTGCAGCAAGGAGTGGCCAGTGTATAGTCGACACTCGGGGGGGGGGGGGGGGGGGGGGGGGGGGGGTTGAGGCAGACAAACAATCAGACTGTTACTGGTAGCAATGGAATTGGAACTTTTCATACTAGAGACAACATTGCAGATACAGATAATCTATTTCAAGCAAATGAAAGAAGAATAAGAAGAAAGGATTGGAACTCTGTTCTTGCTACTGAAGATGGGGATTGAGCACTTATAGAATGTCCCGAGTGCGGTGATGTCAGTTATAAACTCACAACTCCAGGAAATGTCTTAGAAATTAAAGGATACTGGCACATCAGCCATCTAGTGCTGGTTGGTCTATTCAAGTATAAGGCCAGTACCTTGTGCCCAGTTTGCTTCAAGGTGTAGAAACGCATCCTTGACTTTATTGATTGTGAGTGTAAAGCATTTATGATTTATTGATTGTGTCACAGTGCTGTGATGACTCGTTGTTTCATATCAGAGTTTCATACTTTGGATCCATTCTCGAGAACAAAAACTAGACCTAGCATTCATGATGTATTTATTGTGTCACAGTCTTGTTTTCACTCTTACTAGGGTAGTTTCATACATTTTGGCCAACAAAGAATAGACTTCTACCTCCTTTCTTCCAGCTGGGGTGATGCTAACCACATCAGCACCAAGTGCCGGTTGGTCTAAAACAATCTAAGTCTAGCCCCATTTTCCCAATATGCCTGAATGTGTGGAAAAGGAACCCTTTACTTCCCTTCCTCCGCCCTTCCCGACTAACAAGCACCCTGTAGGAGCTAACTAATTAGGTGTGTTTCCTTCAGTGGCGAAGTGTATCTGCCTGGAAGGCAAGTAACCAACAGTCTGCATACAAATAAGCCAGATCTGTAAAATAGATGTGCACACAAAACTCAAGTTCTGCATCGAGACCAGAGTCCAGGAGTGGATGAACAACCAGAACTTTCCATCAGAGTCTGCAGCCAGTGAAAACTGAGAAAACAAGAACAGTAAATCATCATTCAAATCCCCTGGGCCTTTTGAACAGAAGAATGCTGACACTTAATTGGATTGGGGGCTGCATGGTCTCAAGGCACGGCCGTCTGCCTCGAGTGCTGGAGGTCACCGGTTCAGGCCCCTGTAAAGGCTGGGATATTTTTCACTTGGACTTCTAGTAATTGTCTCTTGGTCTCTGTAAAGTAAGATCAGATGCCCGTGTGTACTGTTGCGCATGTAAAAAAATCGCTTGGCAGTTGGAAATCAAAAAGAGTAGCCTAACGACACTGCACTGGGCAAAATTTTGAGAGAAAAATCTACCCAAGTATTTCAGGATCCTTGCTGCTGCTACGGAGTTCGTGCACTGCACTGAGATTTTTCGAAGTCAGACTTGTGTACAATTCTGGTAGCCATAACATCCACACCTAAAGTAGAAATGGGAAAGGCAGCCAAATCCACCCCTTAGAAGAAAGAAGAAGGACAAAAGCATTTCTACATTCTGAAAACATGAAAGGGTTGCCAAACCACCCACTGCACACAAAATTGAGAGCCAGGACAAAGAACTGAATAAAGCGCACAAGCTTAAACCATCTAACTAAGGAATTCGGAAGGTCATACCCTTCACAACTAAACCAACAATGTGCACATAAAGAGCTATTTTTCAATATTTGGGACTTCCATCCCGAACTTGGGAAACACAAGATGCCGAGACCAATTTAATGAAGGAAGCACCACAGTGGAACAACTCAGCAACATGTTCTCACGGGACAGCTGGATGAGAATCTACACGGATGGATCAGAAAAAGAGGCAACTATGAATGGTGGTGGAGCAGGTGTTCACACTGAACACCCAGATGCCACTACTGTGTCCCCCACCAAATGAACTTGCTCTAACTACAAGGCAGAGCTTTCAGCCCTACTGATGGCAGCACATTATATGAACAAGCTGCAAATCCCAGCAGGCAAGATGGTTTTTCTCAGAGACTCACTGTCAGCCATACAGGCTCTAGAGTCTAAAACTACAGACAGACCACTACAAAGTCTAACAAAGGAACTTGCTGTGTTGTCAACAAAGGCAAAAACTCACCTGCAGTGAATTCCATCTCACTGTGGCATCAAAAGCTATGAAAGCACTGATGCTTTAGCCAAGGAAGGCAGTAACAGACCACAGACCTACCGGCCACTATCTTTTCCAGAAGTCAAAACTCTCATCAAGAGAAAATCCTAAACAGATTGGAAAATCGACACAGGTTATAACCATGAAAAAGATTTCTTCAAACACCTTAACAGAACACAGCAAGTCACAGTTTTTCGCTTATGCACTGGACACAGCAGACTCAGCAAACACTTATTTAAATTAGGCATGAGCCAAACAGCTCTCTGCCAGTGCCTTCGTGCTGAACAGACTCCAGAAAGTGTCCTGCAAGACTGTCCTCTCTCGGCGGAGCTGTGGAGCAACATGTGGCCACACCCAGCAGACCTGACAACTCAGCTTTGGGGAAACCTAAGAGATCTTGATATGACATTCCAGTTTATGGCCCACAGTGCATTATGCACATGACCAGAGATTGCTGAAAAAGAAGAAGAAGGCAGGTGTACTCTAACTTCAAAGGATGCCCTCAATTAGTAGATTCCTATGACATGCTTGTTGGGGAGGCAGTCAGTGTATTATTGTTTTTCCCACAATGGCCCTGGAACCCACACAGGGGCCTAGTGAACTCAAAAAGCACTGAAGTATTCTTGTTCCTTTTCCTATAGAAATGTCTTACATGAATCTGTGATGTCCTCTAGCCTTCTGGCCTTCTAGTGATTTCTGTGACAGTTTAAAGTTCTTCTTCTTCTACACCTCCTCTTTTACCGCTTTGGGTGTCGAGTTTCCACTTCTTGCTTTTTTACGGATGGTTCAATGTTGAGAGGAAAAAGAAGTGCCTGGGTGTTCATATTGAAAGCCAGTGACACCACAACATCTAGCATGAGAATGGAGGTGGTGGCGGTAACTGCAGCTCTACGGTGGCTAGAGAACAAGATGCACACACGTGTCGTAATTGTAACAGACTCTGAAAGCATGCTGAAAAAGGTGAAGACAGAGATGCTTCTAGCAGAGTGGCAAGCTTCACTGGAAAGGTCACAGGTAGTGAGCATACTTTGGATCTTTTCTCCAGGCCATGCTGGCATGGTGGGGAATGAACAGGCAGACGGCTGGATCTGCACCACTAGGTGGAGAATCGATAATGACAAGGCAGATGTGGTCAAGGTCCTTTGGGAACAAGCAATGAAATCAGTAGAGAAAGAAGATTATTATGGCCTGGAGAGAATGAGGCATCTAGGAGTAACCAGAGGGTCTGGCCAGCTCACTACATTTAGAAGAATGGCAAAACGGACATATAACTAGATTGTGACCGGTACCATCAGTATTGGACCTCTGTGCTGGCTGCTGAGGATGAGGATGGAGCATGCATGGGAATGCCCTTAGTGCTGTGACGTCAATTCTTGATTCAGCAGTTGTTGAGTTCAGTTGGATCTGCACCCAGTGGTGCAGATCCAGCCAATCTGTCTGCCTGTTCATTACCCACTCAACACTTCCTGCTCTTCTGACCACCTCAACCATAGATAGATACATTGTGTTGTTCTAGAGTTTCTCTGATGTTATCTTTCCATCTTATTTTTGGTCTACCTTGTGTTTTACGTTCTTTATGGTTTAAGGTTGCTAGGTCATAACCCCAACCTCAGGCCAGTTCAGTAAAACTGTAATTCATATCTGCAGGTTTGCAGACACTGGTACAATGTGGTCTGGGATCACCCAATCCTGTGGACCTCCATAATTATCAACAACCCAAATATTAACATAGACAGGGCCCTGAAGTACCTGACCAGAAGACTGAGCTACAATACCCCAAAGGTAAGGTTTTAAGATTATTCAGTTTGTACACTGAAATACCTTTAGATCCGTACATGGTATGTCAGGAATATCGGTTAATGGGCATATTGTTAACAGCCTGCAGTATGCTGACGATATAGTTTTGATCACTGAAAATGAAACACAACTGCAAGAAATGATGGATATAGGCAGCTCTCTGCCAGTGTCTTCGTGCTGAACAGACTCCAGAACATGTCCCTCAAGACTGTCCTTTCCTGGCAGAGCTGTGAAGCAACATGTGGCCACACCCAGTAGACCTGACAACTAAGCTTTGGGGAAACCTAAGAGACCTTGAAAAGACATCCCAGTTTATGGCTCACCATGGTGGATTAAGCGCATGACCAGAGATCGCTGAAGAAAATGCTGCCAGTAACAGCATGAGGCAGATGGCTTGGCTAGGGTTAGTGTTCAAGTCTGACTGGGTGAGATATTCTGTGAAATATTTTATTTCTGAAGTGCAAAATAAGAACATGATTAAATCTTGCTGTCTTTCATATCCATGATTCTTGTTGCACTAAAGATGGCTTATATGTGCAGCTGTTGTTGTGTTGCTAATGTGTTTCTTGTGGTCTATGTGTGTCAGTGTTTTGAACATTATTGTGTTGCTAATGTGTTTCTTGTGGTCTATGTGTGTCAGTGTTTTGAACATTATTGTGTTGCTAATGTGTTTCTTGTGGTCTATGTGTGTCAGTGTTTTGAACATTATTGTGTTGCTAATGTGTTTCTTGTGGTCTATGTGTGTCAGTGTTTTGAACATTATTGTGTTGCTAATGTGTTTCTTGTGGTCTATGTGTGTCAGTGTTTTGAACATTATTGTGTTGCTAATGTGTTCTCTTGTGGTCTGTGTGTGTCAGTGTGTTTTGAACATTATTGTGTTGCTAATGTGTTTCTTGTGGTTTATGTTTGTGTCAGTGTTTTGAACATTATTGTGTTGCTAATGTGTTTCTTGTGGTCTATGTGTGTCAGTGTTTTGAACATTATTGTGTTGCTAATGTGTTTCTTGTGGTCTATGTGTGTCAGTGTTTTGAACATTATTGTGTTGCTAATGTGTTTCTTGTGGTTTATGTTTGTCAGTGTTTTGAACATTATTGTGTTGCTAATGTGTTTCTTGTGGTCTATGTGTGTCAGTGTTTTGAACATTATTGTGTTGCTAATGTGTTTCTTGTGGTTTATGTTTGTCAGTGTTTTGAACATTATTGTGTTGCTAATGTGTTTCTTGTGGTCTATGTGTGTCAGTGTTTTGAACATTATTGTGTTGCTAATGTGTTTCTTGTGGTCTATGTGTGTCAGTGTTTTGAACATTATTGTGTTGCTAATGTGTTTCTTGTGGTCTATGTGTGTCAGTGTTTTGAACATTATTGTGTTGCTAATGTGTTTCTTGTGGTCTATGTGTGTCAGTGTTTTGAACATTGTTGTGTTGCTAATGTGTTTCTTGTGGTCTATGTTTGTCAGTGTTTTGAACATTATTGTGTTGCTAATGTGTTTCTTGTGGTCTATGTTTGTCAGTGTTTTGAACATTATTGTGTTGCTAATGTGTTTCTTGTGGTCTATGTTTGTCAGTGTTTTGAACATTATTGTGTTGCTAATGTGTTTCTTGTGGTCTATGTTTGTCAGTGTTTTGAACATTATTGTGTTGCTAATGTGTTTCTTGTGGTCTATGTGTGTCAGTGTTTTGAACTTTATTGTGTTGCTAATGTGTTTCTTGTGGTCTGTGTGTGTCAGTGTTTTGAACATTATTGTGTTACTAATGTGTTTCTTGTGGTCTATGTGTGTCAGTGTTTTGAACATTATTGTGTTCAGATAATTGAACTGCAGCTCTCGGGTGGCTAGAGAACAAGATGCATACACGTGTCGTAATTGTAACAGACTCTGAAAGCATGTTGAGAAAGGTGAAGACATAGATGCTTTGAGCAGAGTGGCAAGATTCACTGGAAAGGTCACGGGTAGTGAGCATACTTTGGATCTTTTCTCCAGGCCATGCCGGCATGGTGGGTAATAAACAGACAGACAGATTGGCTGGATCTGCACCACTGTGTGGTGAATTGGTACATGACAAAGCAGATGTGGTCAGGGTCATAAACCTAAAACACTTCCAGCAGGCAGGTAGAGAACTTATTTATTCACAAATGTGAGAATCAGATGCTCACCTGCCAACCCAAAAGATCTGGGTTCTAATTTTTTTTTTTTTTAATTAATCTTGGCTCCCAGGTCAGACCAGTTTTAAATGGGTACCAGGAAATGTCCTGGGAAGTAAAGACCCCTCGTAATGTTGACCACAACAGAGAGGCAATAACTGGTCTGTTCCAACCTGAGTGAAGACAAAATTGTATCACAAACAAGCCTGCACGATAGCTTTCATAAAAGTTATAAGCCTTCTGATATACCTTGTCCAGTAGAAATATTGAAGAAGAAGAAGAAGAAGAAGAAGAAGAAGAAGAAGAAGAAGAAGAAGAAGAAGAGAAGAAAAAGAAGAAGAAGAAGAAGAAGAAAAAGAAGAAGAAGAAGAAAAAGAAGAAGAAGAGAAGAAAAAGAAGAAGAAGAGAAGAAGAAGAAGAAAAAGAAGAAGGAGAAGAAGAAAAAAGAAGAAGGAGAAGAAGAAAAAAAAAGAAGAAGAAGAAGAAGAAGAAGAAGAGAAGAAGAAGAAGTAGAAGAAAAAGAAGAAGAAGAAGAAGTATTGAGCATACTAACAGAAATCCTATGGTTGTTCTTAATTGTTTTTTTAAATTGTGATATCTTTCCTTCTTTGATTATCTGCAGGTGTGCATGATTTTAGAGAAGATTAACATCAATGCTTGCACTCAACTTTCTGATCGAGGTCTTCAAACTGTCGCCAAAAGGTGTCCTGAACTACGATACTTGGACATGCAAAACTGCCACCTGGTCTCAAACATGGGTGTGAAAGAGGTGGTCTCTCGATGTGTCAATCTGGAGAGGCTCGATGTAACAGGTGAGTTCAAGGTCATTTCAGTTTCTGAAATTATCTGAAAGTGAATAATTGATTTAGTCATAATCCTAGTTTTAGATATACAGTCATAATTCTATTAATATATTCAGTCATAATTCTATTCAAATATTCAGTCATAATTCTATTCAAATATGCACTCATAATTCTTTTTAAATATTCAGTCATAACTCTCAATATCCTACCCCAAACAAGAGAAAATCCTAAGGTCAGGGGACAGTAATATTTCAGGGGGTGGTAGATAGACTTCATGCAGTTGTGGGACCTGGGCTGCCCTCTTTCGTGGGACATAAGTAGGTTGGGTTTAGGGCCAGTTCTAGATGTTTTGGGGTCATTAAAAGCATCAGAAGGCCAGGAAACCCAGTCTTACCACCCTCTAAAATGTTGGACTGTCCTTTATCTTGGGTAGGATATTACGAAAGAACCCATAATTCTATTCAGATATTCAGTCATAATTCTATTCAGATATTCAGTCATAATTCTATTCAAATGTTCAGTCATAATTCTTTTCAAATATTCACTCACATTGTACTTAACATTTTGGAAAAAGTTGTGTGCCATTCCCACAGTGAAGTTTTGCTACAGTATACTGACTGCTGTCTGTGTCCTGTCCATGCCAGCGTCTTTTCTTTATCTCTTGGTTCACTGGAACTTGTTTCGTTCTCTCAGAAAGCTCGGCGTTAGTGATTCTATCATACCATCTTATTCCCTCTATTCTGTGCTGGCACCAGTTAATAAATGTTTGTAGTTTAGTAGTAATTGCCTTAGTTCTTCACCAGGGGGCAACGTGGTCTCGAGGCAGAGTGTCCGCCTCGAGAGCTAAGAGGTTTTGGGTTCAAACCTGGGTAAAGGCTGGGATTTTTTCACAGGGACATGGACTTTTAGTAATTCCCCCGGTCTTTGTTTAGTGAGATTGGACTTCTGTGTGCATCGTTGCGCACATAAAAAATCTCTTGGCATTTGGAAATCGAAAAGAGTAGCCTAACGGCACTTCCTGGGCAAAATTTGCAGTTAAAAATCTACCTGAAGTATTTCAGGATCCGCACCGGTGCTACCGAGTCTGTGCACTGCGCTGAGCTTCTTCGGACTCAGACTTGAGTTAGAAGAAGAATGGAGCACGTATGGGTTACTACTCCTGTGCCACGATGTTGATCCGTTGATCAAAACCTCAAACCTCTTCACCACGTATCATCCATATAATAGTACTGATTTGAGAATTGAATTTGAAAAGTTTAGTTTAGGATTAGTTTAATTTCTTTTGACCCCCACAAATTCCCTGTTGCTGTGAAAGCTCCTCTCGTTTTTTTATATTTGTATTTTAATATATCTCTCTCAGCTCCCCCATCTTTATCTACATTACTGCCCAAATAGGTGTATGACTGGACGTCTTTGAGTGGGATACCATTAACAAAAACCAGATGACTTGAGAATCATGAAATTGTTTTCACTTACACCTAAGGCACAGAGCCACACACTTCAAATATTCTTTCAGTGGATACCATCCCACTGTGGAGTTTACGGAAATGAAAGAGCCGATAAACTAGCTAAGGCAGGTGCAAATGAAGAACAACCTGACGTACCAGTCTCTTATCAGTAAAAGAAGAGAATAATCAAATCAATAAGAAAGCCACCAAAACTTGCACTAGACGATTACCATTTTATGGACAGACCAGATCAAGTTATTATTCTATACCTTAGAACAGGACACAGTTTGAAAAGGTATCACATCAACACAGTAGAATATGTGTCGAAGGTCATGCCAACACAGTAGAATATGTGTCGAAGGTCATGCCAACACAGTAGAATATGTGTCGAAGGTCATGCCAACACAGTAGAATATGTGTCGAAGGTCATGCCAACACAGTAGAATATGTGTCGAAGGTCATGCCAACACAGTAGAATATGTGTCGAAGGTCATGCCAACACAGTAGAATATTGTCGAAGGTCATGCCAACACAGTAGAATATGTGTCGAAGGTCATGCCAACACAGTAGAATATGTGTCGAAGGTCATGCCAACACAGTAGAATATGTGTCGAAGGTCATGCCAACACAGTAGAATATGTGTCGAAGGTCATGCCAACACAGTAAATATGTGTCGAAGGTCATGCCAACACAGTAGAATATGTGTCGAAGGTCATGCCAACACAGTAGAATATGTGTCGAAGGTCATGCCAACACAGTAGAATATGTGTCGAAGGTCATGCCAACACCACCAAATGTTTTATAAATTATTATCAACATAAAAGTCATATCATAAATAACTAATGCAACATGAAACATATGTATGGATTCCCTCATAAAACAGGTTTACAGATTCCCTTATAAAACAGGTGTACTCATTTCCTTATAAAACAGGTGTACTGATTCTCTTATAAAACAGGTGTACTGATTCTCTTATAAAACAGGTGTATTGATTCCCTTATAAAACAGGTGTAATGATTCTCTTATAAAACAGGTGTACTGATTCTCTTATAAAACAGGTGTACTGATTCTCTTATAAAACAGGTGTATTGATTCTCTTATAAAACAGGTGTATTGATTCTCTTATAAAACAGGTGTACTGATTCTCTTATAAAACAGGTGTACTGATTCTCTTATAAAACAGGTGTACTGATTCTCTTATAAAACAGGTGTATTGATTCCCTTATAAAACAGGTGTACTGATTCCCTTATAAAACAGGTGTACTTTTCCCCCTTATAAAACAGGTGTACTGATTCCCTTATAAAACAGGTGTACTGATTCCCTTATAAAACAGGTGTACTGATTCCCTTATAAAACAGGTGTACTGATTCCCTTATAAAACAGGTGTAATGATTCTCTTATAAAACAGGTGTATTGATTCCATTATAAAACTGGTGTACTGATTCCCTTATAAAACAGGTGTAATGATTCTCTTATAAAACATGTGTATTGATTTCATTATCTTTGATTTGTGAATCTAGACTGCCCTTTGGTGACCTGCATTAGCCTGACAGACTCTCTCATCTCACAAAGTGCCTCCAGACATCTCCAGAGAATCTACCTGCGCTACCTGGATATGACAGACTGCCCCAGTGTCACCGATCAAGACCTGTTTGTCATCACGTCACAGTGCACACAGTTACTCTTCTTCTACCTCAGGCGGTGTCCACTCGTCACGGACCTGGGAGTCACATATATTTCAAACAATTGTAACAGGTGAGTGGAATTTTATATATTTTTGGTGATTCTTCTTCTTCTTGTTTTTCCTTTTATCACCCAATGGAGTCTTAAGCCCTCAGTCAATTCAAGCCAAATGGTTCTACCCTTCACTCATGCATGAAGCTCACCCCGTGTCCTCCCCGTCTTTTTAACTTCACTCTCTAGCTCCCTTCTCCATTTGTGTGTGTGTGTCTGCCTTTATTTCTATGCTCCTGTGGGATCCAGTGCAAAGACATTCTAGTTAAATTGTTCTCAGGTTTTCTGAACGTGTGTCCCATCCACTGCCAGCATTTTTCTTTAGCTAATTAGGGTAGTAGAAAAGGAAAGAAGCAGCAGTACTGACAGCCTTCTGATGGCTGGAGTCTGGTTGATTTGAGTCCAGAATTGACATCACAGCACTCAGGGCATTCCCTTGTGTGCTGCGTCCTCATCTTCAGCAGCCAGCGCAGTTCCAATACTGATGGTGAGTCTAGTGCAGCTCAACATGTTGTAAATGTAATGGATTCAAGAACATGATTCAAAAAATAGAAAATTGTGTCACATCTGTAGAATGGCCGGCATCACTTCAGCAATATGTCTCTTTGGTACTAACTAAGAGACTGGTCATTGTCTAGAGTCCACAGAGTGTCCCTTGTAAGCATCTTTTGAGCAGGCAGATAGACTAGCTGGTTCTGCACCACTTGGTGGTGAATTGATGTTTGACAAGTTAGATTTTTTGAGGGCTCTTTGGGAACTGTTGAACAGTGTAAAGGCGCAGATAGATCATTACGGTCTGAGGAGAATGGCGCTGCGAGGAGTTACTAGGGAATCTGGCCGACGCTCAAAACTCAGGGGTAGGAAGAGACGGATATACAATCAGACGGTTACTGGCACCATCAGAAATGGAACTCTTCGCTTGCTGCTGAAGATGGGAACTCAGCGCTTATGGGGTTGTCCCGAGTGCTGTGATATCGATTCCTAATTCAACATTCAACATTTAGAGTTCACAGAGCAGAGGAGACAGATCTTCTTCCCAATCAACTGGCACATCACAGTCGACACCAGTTGATACAAATTGTACATTTCTTGGTCATAACACTTAAGCTACAAGAATCAGTCCACCAGTCTAACAGTCTACAGACAATCTACAGCATGACAGTAACTTCATGCTCATGAATCATACAGCCAAGCCTTGAATGTTCATCTTTGACAAATAGCACTCAGCAGGACACATCAGTGTCGTCTTTCTGTCAGCCTTTTTTCAGTGTTATCTTTCGATGCAGCCCACTTTCACTTCTTCTCGCTCTGGATCAACTTTCACTCCTTCTAGCTCTGGATCAACTTTCACTCCTTCTAGCTCTGGATCAACTTTCACTCCTTCTAGCTCTGGATCAACTTTCACTCCTTCTAACTCTGAATCAACTTTCACTCCTTCTAACTCTGGATCAACTTTCACTCCTTCTAGCTCTGGATCAACTTTCACTCCTTCTAGCTCTGGATCAACTTTCACTCCTTCTAGCTCTGGATCAACTTTCACTCCTTCTAACTCTGGATCAACTTTCACTCCTTCTAACTCTGGATCAACTTTCACTCCTTCTAGCTCTGGATCAGCTTTCACTCCTTCTAGCTCTGGATCAGCTTTCACTCCTTCTTGCTCTGGATCAACTTTCACTCCTTCTAGCTCTGGATCAACTTTCACTCCTTCTAGTTCTGGATCAACTTTCACTCCTTCTAGCTCTGGATCAACTTTCACTCCTTCTAGCTCTGGATAAACTTTCACTCCTTCTAGCTCTGGATCAACTTTCACTCCTTCTAGTTCTGGATCAACTTTCACTCCTTCTAGCTCTGGATCAACTTTCACTCCTTCTAGTTCTGGATCAACTTTCACTCCTTCTAGCTCTGGATCAACTTTCACTCCTTCTAGTTCTGGATCAACTTTCACTCCTTCTAGCTCTGGATCAACTTTCACTCCTTCTAGCTCTGGATCAACTTTCACTCCTTCTAGCTCTGGATCAGCTTTCACTCCTTCTAGCTCTGGGGCCCGGTTACAGAATGAATCAATATTCAGCTATTTAAAAAAAAAAAATCAGCTAAATTAAAAAGAGTCGCAAAACGGCGCTGCCCGAGCAGAATTTGGAGTTTAAAATCTACCCACAGTATTTCAGGATTCTCGCCAATGCTACGGAGTTCGTGCACTGTGCTGAGCTTCTTCAGACTCAGGCTTGAGTCAGAAGTAGAACAGAGCACTTATTGGTTACTACCCTTGTGACATGATGTTGATCCGTCATCTAAACCTAAACTTAATCTAAATCTACCAACCAATAAAACCCCTTAAATTAATCCTATATATAGCATCACTACAACTTGATAAGGCACCAATCAGGAACATATCATGGATTGTCTGTCTTGGATCTTCTGGCGTGCAGGTTAATCAACCAACCGTGTGTTACTGAGGAAGCAAAAAACAGTAATACTGTAGCCTACCAGGCATCTTGTAAAAGGCGGCTAAGGCTAGGGTTGGGCTTAAGTTGGCTACCTTGATAGACAGAGAACAGAATGCAGGAATAGACTACGAGCCCTATTTGGCATATAATGACATAGTAGGACAATGATCCTATAGTTAACACACCAGGACACGAACCTTCTTCTACGTCATCTTTTCTCTACTCCTGGAATGCCTCGCAGCATCAGTGTTGAAAGAGAACTATGGAATAGGCCCTTCTGTTTGCTTTGTAAATGTGGCCACTACTTTACTGTGTCTCTCTAAATTAATTTGATTCAGTTAATATTAGAACTATGCAGATGACATCAGCCTTATATCAAGCCGTGTCTTGAGGACGCTCAGGAAAAGATGGAAAGACTTTCAACGACAGCCCTTAAAAAAAAAACACCAGTAAAACTAAAGTAATTGAAAAATAATTACAAAACAGAAAATCCAATATCTTAAATAATGAATCAATAGAGGAAGTTGAAGAATTTGTATATTCGTTAGTAAAGTTACTCCAGATGGAGATTCTGAAAAGGATGTAGCATCAAGAATAAACAAAGCAAATCAAGCATTTGCCTTGCTTAACAATATATGGAAGTCAATGGGATTTAGTTTAAAGACAAAACTCAGAATATACAAGAGCAATATTTTAGGAATACTATTATACAACAGTGAATGTTGGAAAATGACAGCGGGAATTACAAATAAACTTAGAATATTACTCAGTTGATATAGATAGATAGAAATATTACTCAGTTGATATAGATAGATAGAATATTACTCAGTTGATACAGATAGATATAATATTACTCAGTTGATATAGATAGATAGAATATTACTCAGTTGATATAGATAGATAGAATATTACTCAGTTGATATAGATAGATAGAATATTATTCAGTTTAAGTGCTATGTTAATCTGTGATTTGTTACAGGGAATGCCATATTAATTTGATTCTGCGTGGTGTTCAGTTTCTGTTTCTTTATTTCCTGATACAGTTTGCGAGAACTGAGCCTGAGCGATTGCAAGAATGTCACCGACCTGGGCATGCGAGAACTGGCCAAGTTGCATGAGAACCTTCGATATTTGAGCGTTGCCAAATGTGAAAAGGTGAGACCTGAAAGAATGGATCTTTGCGTGTCTGCATAAGTGTAGGGGGTTTCAATAGTTGGTACCTGTAATTTTGAAAAACCACTTTATATGGCTAAAAATGGGCATTTAAGTTGTAAAAAAATATAATGATATATAATAATTTCACAGATTAATCTCTAAACAAAGATTAATTTTTCGAAGCCCACAACTGACATTGCCTGATTGTTTTTATTAGCAGGTTATGACATAAGAAAGAAATGGAATAATTCTCTCTTTTTTTCACTACCTTTGTTTTCCTAAAAAAATTAAATAAAATAATTCAGTACTGGTTTGATCAGGTTGTGTAAATTTTAGAACTGTTGTTGTTCATCCATCTCAAGAGATGATGTTATCCTTGCGTCTGCTACACTGAGTGGTATTTAGGTGACTGATAAGGCAGGGAGAGCAGTGGGGGGCAGTGTTGGCAGGGAGTGTTCTGGGGGCAGTGTGGGCAGGAGGTGTTCTGGGAGGCAGTGTGGGCAGGGAGTGTTTTGGGGGGCAGTGTGGGCAGGAGGTGTTCTGGGGGCAGTGTGGGCAGGGAGTGTTCTGGGGGGCAGTGTGGGCAGGGAGTGTTTCTGGGGGCAGTGTGGGCTGGAGGTGTTCTGGGGGCAGTATGGGCAGGAGGTGTTCTGGGGGCAGTGTGGGCAGGGAGTGTTCTGGGGGCAGTGTGGGCTGGGAGTATTCTGGGGGCAGTGTGGGCAGGGAGTGTTATGGGGGCAGTGTGGGCAGGGAGTGTTCTGGGGGGCAGTGTGGGCAGGGAGTATTCTGGTGGCAGTGTGGGCAGAAAGTGTTCTGGGCGCAGTGTGGGCAGGGAGTATTCTGGGGGCAGTGTGGGCAGGGAGTGTTCTGGGGGCAGGGAGTGTTCTGGGGGGCAGTGTGGGCAGGGAGTGTTCTGGAAGGCAGTGTGGTGTTCTGGGGGGCAGTGTTGGCTGGGAGTGTTCTGGGGGGCAATTTGGGCAGGAGGTGTTCTGGGGGCAGTGTTGGCAGGGAGTGTTCTGGGGGCAGTGTGGGCAGGGAGTGTTCTGGGGGCAATGTTGTTAGTAAGTATTCTGGGGGCAGTGTGGGCAGGGAATGTTCTGGGGGCAGTGTGGGCAGGAGGTGTTCTGGGGGCAGTGTTGTTAGTAAGTATTCTGGGGGCAGTGTGGGCAGGAGGTGTTCTGGGGGGCAGTGTGGGCAGGGAGTGTTCTGGACCAGTGTTGGCAGGAGGTGTTCTGGGGGCAGTGTGGACAGGGAATGTTCTGGGGGCAGTGTGGGCAGGAGGTGTTCTGGGGGCAGTGTGGGCAGGGAGTGTTCTGGGGGCAGTGTGGGCAGGGAGTATTCTGGGGGCAGTGTGGGCAGGAGGTGTTCTGGGGGCAGTGTGGGCAGGGAGTGTTCTAGGGGCAGTGTGGGCATGAGGTGTTCTAGAGATCTTTTAGTTGTCCTTGCACTATTTTTGTGTGTGTGTCTGTCTCTTGGGAGATATCAACCTGGATATATTTTCACAGAGCAGCAGTCAACTTAAAGCTGTTGACATGTCAGTGGAATTTTCTCTGTACTTCTTAGCGACACTCAACAGTGGTATCTGTCTGAATTGTCCTATAAGGACATTCCTGATTTTTGCAGCAACAAATACATTCTAATGACAAAATTGACTTTGTGTGTGTGTGTGTGTGTGTGTGTGTGTGTGTGTGTGTGTGTGTGTAAGTTCCTTTTTAGCTCCAAACATTTGTTTAGCAAGACGTAGACCCATTAGGCTGGTAATATTTTTCAGGCTGTACAAGGGAGAGTCTTGCAGGACATGTTCTGTCATGTGTATGCACAGCCCAAGCGGGCACAGTGGTGAACACTCAGATGGAGCTTGTACATGGGCTTCTTATGTCCTGTCTTGAGGTTCATATCTTGAGGTGGAGAAAAATGACCCGTCAACTCTGGTCAAGGACATTGTAGCCACAGGCCTGGTTCTGTTCTCTTGACAGACTTGATTTTTTTTTTTTTTTTTTTTCCAGTTTAATTATTATTATTATTTTTGTTTTGTTTTTAAACTACAGTTTTATTCTCTTCCTGTTGATATTTTTACTTGTTGAACCCTACAGCTGGTAATATACACTATTTTCTTGATGGCTTGAATGCTCTGCTTCCAACTTTATGTTCTGTAGTTGTTCTTTTTATCTTCTTCTGCTTGTTCTTTGTGTTTCACTGACTGTAAACTCTGGCATAAAGTTCTTGTTGTTCCTCCACTTCTGGACTCTAGTCCTTCTTCTTTCATTCGCCTACTCTAGTCCTATTCCAGAACCTGAGTTTTACATGCACATTGGTTTTACAGATATGACTCCCATTTGTATGCAGACTGTTGGTTCCTTGCCTCCCAGGCAGATGTACTCCTACTTTGAAGTAAGTTCCCAGTGTTAGTTGACTCCTAGGACATGCTTCTGGCGAGGCAGTGACAAAAGCTAATCAGCATTGACATGAGCAATTCTATTTCACTCACTGGGTGGGTGGGTCAGTGTGCTACTGCCATATCTTTGCAACACCCATACAAATTAATCAGCAGAGGTTTCCATTTTAAATCTTGTGTTACATTTTTTTTTCTTTTTTTTTCTGATCTTCTTTTAGATTTCCGACCAAGGTGTCATCCACCTGGCTAGAAACTGCAGCAAACTCCGTTACCTCAATGTTCGAGGCTGTGAGGCCTTCTCAGACACTGGGCTGGAGTTCTTGGCCAGAAACTGCCCTCGGCTCCGCTCTCTGGACATTGGAAAATGTGACATCACTGATGATGGACTTTATGCGCTGTCCATGTATTGCCCCAACTTACGGAAGCTGGGCATGAAATCATGCGACGCCATTACTGACAAAGGAATTGTGCTCATTGCCTACCGGTGCCCCTCCTTACAACAGCTGCATGTCCAGGATTGCTGTCTGTCTCCAGATGCGTACGCCATGGTTCGAAAGTATTGCAAGAGGGCTATTATTGAACACACCAATCCTGCCATCCTGTAGTAAAATAGTTAGATATTTCTTCTTATTATTATTCTTGTGGCCAGTGTGGTTTGTGTTGTGAACTGCAGATTCCAAAAATGGCGATTTACCTGTTGCCACAGATAATAACTTGTGGTGCCTAGTGTGATTAATCATGTCTGCATGTCAGGGACATGCCGGAGTGCAAGGAAATGAAGGAGCAGATTTTATGGTTAGAAAAGTGATGGCTACAGGAACACTCGTACTGGACAAGGAAAACATTCTGAAGACCATATATGAGCGAATGCTGATAGAAGGTTAGATGAAATAACCTGTAAGAATGTCTGAGCGAGGAATGAAGAGTGGATCTGGTAAAAACGGACGTTTGAGAGGAAGAGAATGACGTGTGTATAATTAGTGTGCTATATGGACAATTAGCATTCACATTTTAAGACATTTGATGTGGGAGACGGAGCATCTGTGTGTACGCCAGTTGTGCTGTGTTATTGATTCTTAAATCATTAATCCACAACTGTTGTAACTGATACTTCTATGAATCACGATAAACTAGACTGTTTATGTTAGCAGTTACTTATGTATTTAATGCTTGTGCATGATGTTGGATTTGCCGAGACTGCCAGTTTGTCTCAGTATTTCCATGAAGGGATAGTGATGGACATTCTGTGTGATTTTCTTTCATTGGCACATGAACCAAGTAACTATGGGAGTGACCCGTTTAGCTAGGAAGTTGTAATTGTGACGACCTGATTATCAGTTCTTGTTCTGCCCTTTAGTCGTCTTATCCTTTGCTCTTCGTCCTTTGCTGTCTTATCCTTTGCTGTCTTATCCTTTGCTGTCTTATCCTTTGCTCTCCTGTCCTTTGCTGTCTTATCCTTTGCTGTCCTAGCCTTTATTGTCCCATCCTTAGTTGTCCTATTTTTGCTGTGCTGTCCTTTGCGGCCCTATCTGTTGCTGTCCTATTCTTTTTTGACCTATCCTTTGCTGTCCTGTTCTTTGCTGTCCTGTGCTTCTTCTTCTTCGTTCACCGGCTGTGAATTCCTGCGGAAGGTCCCGGTTAATCGTCCGCTTGAACTTTTGGCTTTTACCTGGACCTGAGTTTGCGTGTACAAACGTTTTACTGGCTTTTGCCGTTTCCTTCCTCACGGGCAGATGTACTCCGATTTCGTGGGAAGACGTCAGGTCTATTTCTAGGATGACTGGCCATTGTTTTGTGTGGGTCGAGATGTTACCTTATTTGTGTGGTGACCTCTTTGTCCCTTTCTCCATAGGTTTTGCCCCCTGAGTTCCCCCTTTGGGGCAGCCCTGTGTGGAATGGTTAGCCCTCAAGGGAAGGCAGGGGCAGATCATGAGCATTCCCCGCCATCCAAGGAGGCTTCCATAAAAGCAGAGCCGATACATAACGCTCTGGTTCTGGGCTCACCCAAGGAATCGTCACGTCCTGCACATAACTTCTCAACCTCACAACCGTGTTAGGCCTCTTGCTAGACACGGAGATCAGCGGGGAGCAGCCCGTGGGTTCTGGACTTAGTGACCACACAAATAGGTACATTCTTCTTCATTGCACGTTAGACACCTTTAACCTTGTTTCAACTGTGCCTTTAGCACGACAGTATGGGGCAGCATGCTTCAGGTGTAGCTTCACCTGTTTGGTCCCAACACTCTAGCGAGTGGGGCCAGTGTATACGGACATTTGGACTTTTTTCTAATCGGTACGAATTATGATGATCAGACTTTGGGCTTGCTTGTGTGCCGTAGAATCTGACTTTGTCGGACATTATTGCCTAGCCAGCAGATAAAAGGTCGCTGTCGTTATGTACCTCAGCGTGGTGACGACGACGCTGAGGTTTGACAGAGGGTTTTACGTAGGTAAGATCTGACTGCGAGAAACCACCCACAAGAGATGTTACTCGTCTTGGCTGCGGGTAAATCTCTTGGTCAAGGGTTGAGTCTCAGCAGCACAGTTTTCCATTCGCTCCAGAATTTTAACTGAGAGTTGTCATTTGGTGGTACATTTGCCAAGCAGACTTTACTCATGTACTGAATGAGTTTTGATAGACTTTTCACCCATGCGTTTGGGGGCAGGCTGATTAGGACCAGAAAGGACACTACACCTCTGAGGGCCGCCAGCTCGGAGATCCCCTGCCAACTCTGTTAATGCTCATTTGAGACATTATCCGTGGCGCACGACGGGGACGTGCAGCAGGAGTCTTGCATGAGGTTCCATAAAACCAGAACAGTGAAGGACTGGTGCCCTAGTGAGGTACGGAGTATCTCCTTAAACACATCACATCAGACTTAACTTTCCCTCACGCCTGTGATCTAAATCACCGCGCCACTGTCCTGTCCTTTATTGTCCTGTCCTTTGCTGTCCTATCCTTTGCGGTCCTATTCTTTACTGTCCTACCCTTTGCAGTCCTATTCTTTGTTGTCCTATTCTTTGCTGTCCTGTCCTTTGCTGTCCTGTTCTTTGCTGTCCTGTTCTTTGCTATCCTATACTTTGCTGTCCTGTCTTTTGTCTTTGTGTGCAGATCATCCTGTATCTTCACAATATCTTTCTCCTCATTCTTTTTTTCTGGTAGTTAGAGAGATTTAGCAAATACATATTTCTCATTTTACAAGTATTATGTTATTTGTTGTGTGCACGGTTTATGTACAACTAAGCTATGACTGCTCAGGGCACTAGCTATTAGTATGTTTACATATGGCTGTAAAACATGGACCTTAGCTAAACTCAAAAAAATGATATAAGCATTGGAAATTAGATATTTCAGAAAAACTCTTGACATATACAGAGACCATGTAACAATTGACAAGGTATGCATAAAATTACCCAGTACATTGGCAACTACCTCTTTTAACTACAGTGAAAAGGCAGAAAATGCAATAAGATCTAACGGCATCTCAAAACAGTACTTGTGGGCTCAGTTGTGGGGAAGAGGAGAAGAGGCAGACCAAGAAAGACTTGGATTCAGAACTTGACTGGACAGGACTCAGGCATGCGGCCATTAAGTCCATTGCATCTGACCTCAGAGGTGGAAGAAGCTGATCAGACAGTCAACAGAAACTGGTGACCCAATGACACGTAGTATTACGGTACAATGATGATGATGAGATGGTTGCATGTCCAAAGGCTGTAGCCACTTCTTGATAGTGCCATGAGTGTGTACAGAATGTCTTTGTTTGCTTAAAACCACAAGTCACAGAGGCGGGCACAGCCTCACCAAATGGAAAACTGGTTTTTCTTGAGAAGGGAAATGGGGTATCATGTACTGACCCCTTCTTCTTCTATCAAATGTGGTGTGTCCGAAGATTATTGGTTCAGTGTCATACCTATAGCATGCCTTGTTGGCAATACATGTGCGGGCATGCATGCAAGCTTGTACATACATACATACACACACACACACATATATATAATATATATTGTGTGTGTCTGTGAGAAGAAAGAGTGGGGGGGGGGGGGGGGGGGGTATTGGGAGGTTAAACATTAACTAGTGGGTTCCCTTAACTTTCAGTGGCCATTGCAACCGCAATTTCACAAATGTACTTTTAGCGACAACTACCTGTCACCCCTGCATAGAGTAGACAAGTCCATATTGGCTAGGAAGTGAAGTCACGGTTGAGTAGAGAGTCTAGGATCTTTTCTTCCTTTCATTCACTGGCTGTAAACTCCAGCAGAGCAGTATGCACTGGCTGACATGCATCCTTTAATACCTACTTTTCTTCTTTGAGCTCACTGGCTGTAACTCCAGCAGAAACTTCTGTTATCCATTTCTGGACTTTTGTCTTTTTCCAGAACCGGAGTTTTCTGCACATCCATTTTACTCTGTTGTGTGTACTGTTAGACATCACATAGGGCTGGCATTTGATACCCCCACTCCGGTGTGTGTACTGTTAGACATCACATAGGGCAGGCATTCGATACCCCCACTCCACTGTGTGCTGTTAGACATCACATAGGGCAGGCATTTGATACCCCCACTCTGGTGTGTGCTGTTAGACATCACATAGGGCTGGCATTCGATACCCCCACTCCGCTTTCTTGCGTGTAACTTTTTCAATTTATCACATGGAATTTAGCCAAGGGTTTTTAGCCTCTGGTAATAATGTTCTTCTTACTGTTTTCCTCGGACATACTATTTTTGTCTGTTTGTTTCCCATTTCAGTGCTTGTTTTGTCATTCTTTGCTCCTTTCATCTCAAGAGCCTACACAGTGTATCTCCACATTGTCCGTCTTACGGCTCTCTATACGGGTATTTGTCCGTCTTACGGCTCTCTATACGGGTATTTGTCCGTCTTACGGCTCTCTATACGGGTATTTGTTCGTCTTACGGCTCTCTATACGGTATTTGTCCGGACATTTCTCTGATCTCACTCTTTTTTAATTGGAAATCACAGATATGATCTTTCCTCACACCCAAGTGATGATATCAGGAATCACAGATGTGATCTTTCCTCACACCCAAGTGATGATATCGGGGATGACAGAGGTGATCTTTCCTCACACCCAAGTGATGGTATCGGGGATCACAGATGTTATCTTTCCTCACACCCTAGTGATATCGGGGATCACAGATGTGATCTTTCCTCACACCCAAGTGATGATATCGGGGATCACAGATGTGATCTTTCCTCACACCAGAGTGATGATATCAGGGATCACAGATGTTATCTTTCCCCACACCCAAGTGATATAGGGAATCACAGATGTGACTTTCCTCACACCCAAGTAATGATATCGGGAATAACAGATATGATCTTTCCTCACACCCAAGTGATGATATCAGGAATCACAGATGTGATCTTTCCTCACACCCAAGTGATGATATTGGGGATCACAGATGTGATCTTTCCTCACACCCAAGTGATGATATCAGGGATCACAGATGTTATCTTTCCTCACACCCTAGTGATATCGGGGATCACAGATGTGATCTTTCCTCACACCCAAGTGATGATATCGGGGATCACAGATGTGATCTTTCCTCACACCAGAGTGATGATATCAGGGATCACAGATG